CAGCTCGTGTGACATCCAGGATTAATGGAAATTTTTGTAAAAAAGTCTTTAGCTACCGTAGCCCAAGCAATGTGATCATACCGTAACAGGCCTGGGTACTGTATTTTATTTTTGAAAATTTATCAAAATTTCCGTTCAAATCACTCTTGTGACATCCAGCTTACAAGCTGAGCGTAAAATCGAAGAGCTTTTGGCCTCCCGGGCCCTTCCCTCCATCCAGCTCCCATCCGGTCCACCGAAACTCGAGCTGATCTCATCCGGCTTTACTCCTTTTCGGCCCATTGCCCATTCTCTTCCTTCTCCACTCCATCCAACCATCCCGAAATCTCCACTGACATCCAGGCTTGTCCATTCACTTTCTTTAGATGGGCTTATGGAGTGGGGGTGCCCGGGGTCCAGCTAAGCCGCTAATGTGCCTTCTTCATATTTCCTCAAACAACCACCAACAACTCACCTGAGCCTCTCGTGAGTTCCAGAATGAAAGAATATTTTGGAGAATTTCATGAAAACCAACGGATACCGGGGAAATTTGAGTGAACAGTCGGAATCATTGATAGCTGGTCCCTTTTTAAGCAAATAGACTGTAGAATCCAGATTTTCCCTCAAGATACCGTAATCCTGGATGGCATTTGAGTGTTTTATAAAGTTTCAAAGCGATCTAACCACTTTACAGTTTTCTTGTCTTTGGATTACGGTATCTTATCCAGCTTTTAGAACTTGGTCACAGTTTAGCAGTATGCTATGTTTTAAAATCGTAATTAGCTGTGCTGTGCTCCAGCTTGAACAGTACGGTATTCAAAAGTGTCGGAAATCAATAGCTGGGCTCGGAAAATCACCCAGCTCAGCTAGATTCACTATTTTTGTAGAAAAAGATATTCAGTGAACGAAGCGAAAAATGCAATTACCCAAAAATCTCCCAAAAATCCCCCAAAAATGGTCAAGAAATCACCAAAATGTGCTATATGGGGAAAATCCTCATCCCGTTGGCTTATCCCCCGCTTCTCCACCCCGCAAATCTCTTACCACCGACCTAAAACCGCAAAAATGCGCGTAAATCCCCGAGATCCCGATTTCAATCAAAATTTTGGATATCACAGAAAAAAGAAAATGCTTTTCCGAGTTTAAAACTGATAAAAAAATTCATATGCAAATTTTGATCTTTAAATGCAAATTTATTTAAGTGCAAATTTTTTTCCTTAAATGCAAATTTTTTAAAATGCAAATTTTTTAAAATGTAAATATTTTGAAATATAAATTTTTTTAAATGCAAATTTTTTGAAATGCAAATTTTTAAAATCTAAATTTTTTGAATCCAAATTTTCAACAATAGCCACTATTTTTTCTAACCATTACCTCTCGTGTACTCCAGTTTGGGTAAAAGTTTTGAGAGTTTGAAGAAATCTTGAAAATTTGGGGAGAAATCGGCGGCGAGACATTAGGTACCGTAACCCGGTTTTGTAAAAACTCTAAAAAGTGCCCTCCCAGCGTCTCCAAGGGCAAGCGTGATATCCAGATTGCTCATTTTCGCGAAAATTTTAGAGAAAACAATGATTCTGGGGTCACCAAACAGCGGGACTCATTCCCGGCCATTGTGGGCCGAGATCATTTCCAGAAATCGGCTCATCGCACTCCGATCAACGAAATTGATGACATGCGGTGATTGAATGGAGTGCAGAGGAGTCCCCCCACGCACAACGAATCGTGTTTCTTTCTTTTCTTTTCGCGTTTCCTTCCCTTTTCCTTGACTCACTCGCTTGGACGCCTAATTCGATAATAAGGTCGTCCATCGGCTGGCCGACTACCGGAAAGATGAGGATGACTTCCAGGATTTGCAATAACATTTTGTTTGACATCGATTTTTAAGGAAAGAAATGAGAAAATTGAGGGATCACGAGTTGAACGCTATTTCTCGATTTCTTAAACAAAAAACCCGGATTTCAACAAAAATTCAGCTGATCTGGATGTCATTTAACAAAATAAAATGATCAGTTTTTGATTTTAAACAATTTAAAAAATCGACTCTCATGGCGCAGTGGTAACGCGCTAGGTTACAGGGCGAGCGGCTGGTTGAGGCCGAGGGTTCGAGTCCCCGGCAAGCTTTTAAATCTTTTCAAGTTTTTGAAAAGTTATTCTATTGATTAGAAAATGTTTTGTGACTTCCAGAAAGCTGAAAAACGAAGATTTTTCGGGGATTTGTAGAGGAAATGCCTGGAAATCTAGGTGGAGGCAAAATTTTGTTATCTCTATCGGATTTTCACGAGATTTCTGGGGAAAGAGAGGGAATGAGAGCAAATTGAGACTGACACTTCATTGGGGTGAAGAGGATGGGCCCTAGAGGGTGAAAAGGAAGACTGGAACAGGGCTGAGAGTACCGAGAGTACACCCCTGAGAGTACGGCCCTGTACTATGCACCAATTTGAAGTACGGCGATTTTAAGTTTAATTTTCAACGATTCTGGATGTCATGTAAGCTAAAGAAGCGAAAAAAGTTGATTTTTAGCAAGAAAAATTCGCACTGACTACGGAGAAACCTGATGACGGGGAAATACTATGTTTTGACGTAGATAAGGCGGGTTTTTTTGAGCTCAATGCCGGTTCTGGAAGTCACAAGACTGAACTAGATCAAAAAAACAGTGATTGAAGCGATTTGAATCGATTCAGTTTTTTGGTTTTGGATACGGTAGATTTTTGGCGCTTTTTCTCACCCCTTCAGCCTTTTCCTCGCAGAAATGAGAGATCTGGAGGGCAGCACGGGCTCTCCGGCCTCTCGTTCGCCTAGAAACCCCGCCCATTCCAACCCCAACACACCACTCAAAGCCCAACCCCTCTCGGTACTCCCCCACCCCATCCCCTTTACTCCTTTCGCTCAAAACTCGCCCGATCTCAATCCCAATATCAATCCTGCGCTCCAGCTTGATCAAATCGAAAAACTGGCCGCTAATATTCTGATTCGAGGCTGCGATTACGGCCGATTCAACGGCCACCCACCCGGCACCAGCGAACTGACGCCTGGGAATCAGGAAAACGACTTTTGGGATGCACTGCCTTCCAGATTGGCCGCCAACCACGATTTGAGAGGTGCCTAGCGTTCGAATTTCTGAGAAAACCCCGCGAAGTCTATTCACCCGAAAATTTCTCGATTTCGACCTTTTTTCCCTCAATCCATCAACGAATCCCCTCTTTATGGAAAGCATTTTAGCAAAAGAAAATTGAAAAACGACTCGAAACCTATACTTTTGACCGATTCGCTTTTCCCCACTTTGCCATTAAATTCCACTTTTTTTAAATTTTGTTTTTCCGATTCAAAATCTTTTCATTTTATCCTGTGCACTCCAGATTGCCGATTACTTTTCAATTTTCACGGATTTATGCCGGAAATCCCCCAAAATGACCCCAAAATCGGGTCTCTCTCAATCATTCATGTTTATCGCAAAAAAACGGGAAACAAAATCCTCCAATCTCTTAGGATTGCGTCTTTACCCTTCAGCTTGCCCGATTCCTCACTATTTCATCGGAAATAAGCCTTTGAAATCTCGAAAATCCGGGGATAAAAAACGGGAATCTGGGCATCGCCAAAAATTTCGGATAATTAAGTGATCGGGATTTGTTATTTCGAAAACCACACGGCGGAAAAGTGATAGAAAATCGTAGTTCCATAGAAAATAAAAATGAGAAAAAGTTTTAGCAGCAAGGGGAGTCGAACCAGGGTCACTCGGAGGGTCGCTCGCTTTGAAACCGCGCCCACTGCCACTGCGCCATGAAAATTTTTCGCAGAAATTAGATTTTAAAACACTAGAAATATGCTGTGACTTCCAGAATTTGCTTTGGCATCACTGGAAATTTCGATTTTCAAGCTAGAATTCGAGAAAAATCCTCGAACTCGAATCTGAAGCCCAAAAAGCCCAATTTGATTGGAAATTTGATTCTAAGACGCTACAAATATGCTGTGACTTCCAGAATGTACTGTGGCATCGCTGGAAATTTCGAGTTTCAAGCTAGCATTCGAGAAAAAGCCTCGAACTCGAATCTGAAGCCCAAAAAGCCCAATTTTCGTCGTTTTCCTTGAATAAACCCATCAAATTAACTTTTTCTTTCGAATTATTAATTAGTTTTGCATCTTTTTTGACAATTCATTAGATTCCTACTAGGGATTATCGAGTTGAATGGAAAGTTTTCGTTTTTTTGTTTTTTCAAAAAAGAACAAAACGATAGATTGTCTATAGAAAATCGTCATTTTCGCAAAACACAAAAGTAAAAGGTCACATTTTTTCGGTAAAAACGATAATCCCAACCATGTAAAGCTCGGAAATTTGTAAAGAATGTAAAAGAAATGAAAAAGATGGGCTTGTTCAAGGAAAACGACGAAGATTGGGCTTTTTGGGCTTCAGATTCGAGTTCGAGCCTTTTCCTCGAATTCTTGCTTGAAACTCAAAATTTCCAGCGATGCCACAGCACATTCTGGAAGTCACAGCATATTTTTAGCGTTTTAGAATCAAATTTGCAATCAAATTGGGCTTTTTGGGCTTCAGATTCGAGTTCGAGCCTTTTCCTCGAATTCTTGCTTGAAACTCAACATTTCCAGTGATGCCAAAGCAAATTCTGGAAGTCACAGCATATTTTTAGCGTTTTAGAATCAAATTTCTGAGAAAAATTCTCATGGCGAAGTGGTAGTGGGCGCGGTTCCAAGGCGAGCGACCCTCCGAGTGACCCCAGTTCGACTCCCCTTGCTGCCAAATTTTTTTCTTTTTTCGCATATTTCCCAATTTTCTTTTGTGAATCTCATAGATACAGTATTTTTCATAAATTTCCCCGATTTTCTTTTCCATTTTTTCGTCCACCTCGCTCTAATTGACTTTACAACGCGGGTGAATCAGAAAAAAAGAGAAAATTCGCAAAAAATGCAAAAAAATTCCATTTTTACGCAAAATATTCTTTTATTTCTTGTTCTTGAACGTTTAAATCTTGAAATTTCTTTAAATTTCTTTAAATTTCTTTAAAATTATGACTTTTCCCGAGGATTTCATCGGGAAAATTGGCAAAATGCAAGGTAAAAACTTAAAAATTTGCATTTTTTGCATTTTTTTGACGAATTTCATAGCTTAACCCCTGAAAAATTGGATTTTAAACAAAACTAAACAAATTTTTAGCTTATCAAAAAGTTTTCAGATCGCCGTGCCGTCACCTCGGGCCATGTTTGTACAGCGTGTCACAATGGTAAGTAGCAAAAATTCGATTTCCAAATTTTCTTCTGACCCAGCAACTCTTGTGACATCCCAGATCGAACAAATATCTTTAAAATTTTTCATTTCAATCACTGGCTCTCGGTTTAGTTACCCATTCTCAATCACGCTTGAATCCCGACTATCAAAATTTTCGATTTTCAAATTTTTGCCTAACCCAGCAAGCCTTGTGCCATCCAGCTCGAACAAATATCTTTAAAATTTTTCATTTCAATCACTGCCTCTCATCTAAGTTACCCATTCTCAATCTCGCACTGACCCTTGCTAATCAAAAATTTCCCCCGAGCTAATAGCTAATAAACGACTATTTTAAAAAACGTTTGTGGCTTCCAGATTGCTCGATTTTAAATCTAGAAACTAAAAATAACTCAAGAATACCGTGAGAATGACTCGGAAAAGAGAGAACGATTTTTCACTAAGTGCGAGGGGATTTACCATGTAGAATCAAAAAAATTTCGCAATCCTGGAAGTCACCCAATCGATTCCTTGCAAAAACTTTTCGAAATTCGAGAAAAATTTTGTGGCGCAGTGGATAAGTGGCGCGGTGCCCAAAGGAGAAAGGTCCCTGGTTCGAGTCCCCAAGCCGCCAAATATTTTTTTTTTCTTTTTGTTTTCAGTCCAAAACGTTTCCAAGTGCCGCGGTGCGGTCCAGCATTTTCTCATCTCGCCTCGCCGGCACACATGTCGCGATCGCAGCGCCTAGAAAGAGGGGTGAAAGGCGAACTTCATGAATGCTTCAGTATCTAATCTGGGGGCTTCTCCCGCTGTGGTCCAATCTCCCAGGCACATCCGCGGGTAAAGAAATGAAAGAGTGCATTGAAAACGAGCTAGTTATAAACGGAAAAAGAAGGAGAAGATGAAAATTTTGTCCCCGAATTTTGTCGACAATAAAACTGGGGTTTCTAGAGATGATTTTGAAATTCTAAAATGAAATCTGGGCATCCTGGAAGTCACAGGAAAGGCTGAAATCGTTTTTGAGGTGATATGTAAATTTTAGACTCTGGGGTACTCTGGGGTACTGTAGCTGGGGTACTGTAATTTTTGTCTTTAAGCATTTACCCAAAACTAACTACTGTAAAAGCTGGTGTGCATTCCAGCTTGAGCTATGGATATGTTAAAATTGCCTATAAATAGAAGCTACGTGTTTTTAATGCCTCAACTCTTTTCAGACATCATCGACGCTTACTATATGCGTGTTCAGCCGAACATGGAGTTCCACTCGACGTGTTTAAAGGTCAGTTTACTCGATACAGTACCCCAGCTACATTTCAACATAATATTTCTTCTATTTTAATTATTTTATATCTAAACCAGTCCCTAGCTCTTCGAAATTTGCATTTAAAATGTCGATTTTATAAAACTCAAAGAAAACCCCGAATTTTCTTAACCCAATCAACCCAATGCGCTCCAGAATGGCCGGAAAAAACCGGCTCAACCTTTCTCGTGAATGAAATTCGGGAGAAAATCGGCCAGCTTTCTTTCAATGTCCCAAATATATGGGCTATTGGGGTCGGGGCGGAAAAAGAACGGCCAGCTGGTCGACCCCCAGCGCTTGTAGGAGCAAAAAGAGACCTTTCCCGGGTAAGTACCCCAAATTAGAGACCCCGGTGTGACTTTTCTTCAGGAAAGGGGGTAACTCGGTTACGCAATTTCCACAATATTTGGCTTTTCATTGAGGAAATAGGCCGACTGGTGGAACAATGGTCAAATGGGGGAACGGGGTTCAGCTTAGGGCCTGTACTAGTTCTTAGGGTAGGCCCTAGACCTTGGATCAGGCTGTACAAGGCTCTAGGGGTCGGGCCTTAGGCCTAGGTGGGTCCTAGGCCCTGTACTGGTCATTAGGGTTTACCCTGGATCCTGGATCAGGCTGTACAAGGCTCCAAGGCTCCAGCGGTGGACCTAGGGCCTGTACTGGTCCTTAGGGCCGGCCCTAAACCCTCTTCCAGCCTAGACAGGACTCCAGGGCTTCAGGGGTGACCCTAGACCCTGTGCCAGTCTTTAGAGTCAACCCTAGACCCTCTTCCAGCTCACATAGGGCTCCAGCGCTCCAGGGATGGCCCTAGACCCTGTACTAATCCTTAGGGTCGACCCTAGACCCTCTTCCAGCTCACATAGGGCTCCAAGGCCCCAGCGGTGGACCTAGGGCCTGTACTAGTTCTTAGGGTCGGCCCTAGACCCTCTTCCAGGTCGCACAGGGCTCCAGGGCTCCAGGGTCGACCCTAGGGCCCGTACTAGTCCTTAGGGTTGACCCTAGACCCTCTTCCAGCCTAGACAGGACTCCAGGGCTCTAGGGGTGGCCCTAGACCCTGTACTAATCCTTAGGGTCGGCCCTAGACCTTAAGGTCGGCCCTAGACCCTTTTCCAGCTCGCACAGAGCTCTAGGGCCCTAGGGTCGACCCTAGGGCCTGTCAATATGTGTTGGAGGCGATGTAGTGTTTGCACTTCGAATCGAGGGGCGGCAAAAAGAAGCAAAACCGGATTTTGCCACGCTCTGGACCCCCTTGCCGGTAACCCTAGATGGGCCTCGACATCGGCACGAAATCCGAGCCTCTCTAGACCCTGAAGGGGCACATCCGCTTGCGGGGGTTCATCTTTTCGCAAAATTCTCGGATTTACATTCGACACACAATGAGATAACAATGTAAAGCTGGAGAAGCTCAAAGCAGCTTTGGGGTCTGGTTTGAGCTCTGTTTTGAGCTCTGCTTTGGGATCTAGTGAAGGGATTCAATAAAATCTGTGCCTGATTTCCAGTGCGTCGAGTGTCAACGTTTTCTCGACGAGTCGGGCACCACGTTTATCAAAGATGGACGAACCTATTGCAAAGACGATTACTACAGGTGAAAAGCTAGAGAGTTTTTTGATTTTTGTCCATTCTGGATGTCACACTGTGGAATAAAAATGAAAATTTTGCTTGAATTTGAGTTTAAATTTTTTTTTAGAGTACCCTGGTGTTATTTGAGAAAATAGAAGATAAAGCTTGTTTATAAAACCAGAAATGGTAATCCTGGAAGTCATGCTAGCTATTGGATGTGTTTCCTTGCTTGCTCAACGCATTGGGGAAATTCATGACCCTTGTATTTGTCTATCGACGACCTTAAGACCCCTACAGTAACCCGATCCCCTAGTCTTTTCAATAGCTAAACCCGTCGAAAGTCTATTCATTATGCACAATCACTCTTGTAAATAGGCTCTACTTGTACACGGAACTAAGTACACGGAACTTTCACCCAGGGTTCTAAGGGTTGAACGAGTTCGACGCTATATCTAGATATTTCGCAAGAGAACTAGAAGGTTTTAGATGATTTTTCACTGATCTGGAGGTCATGCAAGAAGTTGGATTTGATCGGAATTTCGTAACTATCAAGAAAAAGGATTGGGAAATGAGAAAACGAGTTCGACGCTATATCTAGATATTTAAAGCAGCAGCAGAAACTTTTTCGACACTTTTTCGCCGATCTGGATGTCACATAACATTTTCCATCAATTAGATTTCGATATTTGCAAGTTTTAAGGCAACGATCAAGGGTGACTAGGGTCAACTCAAGACTTGGATGGCGGAGGGGAGGGGAGGGGTACCCTAACCCCCTCCACTCCCCCCGCCCCTCCCCCTGTTCCCCTATAGACCATAGACCTCGATACACACACACACGGGTGTGGGCAAACTTCCCCCCAAATACAATAGACTCAGCCTCAGCCCACCTCCCAACTCTGACCATGAATAAACGTCAAACTTCCCTTTTAAACGCTTATTTGGAAAAATTGACACCCAATTCGGGGGATTTTTAGATTTTAAAGTTCTAAAAACGATCCCAGGGTCTTAGGATGCTCCAGACCAGCTTCGGGTACCCCTGTGGCCTTAAAAGTTAGAAAAGCACAAATCTAACACTTGGACATTGTGCTGTGGGCTCCAGATCAGTGAAAATTTGTAGAAAAAATTGTCTAGGGCCCACCCTGGCCTAGGGCCTAGCTTGAACCCATTCGGGGTCCAACCTAGGTTGCCTTAAAGCTAAAAAAGCCCAAATCTAACACTTCAGCATTATGCTGTGAGCTCCAGATCAATCAAAAATCGTAAACAAAATTGTCTAGGGCCCACCCTGGCCTAGGGCCTAGCTTGAACCCATTCGGGGTCCAACCTAGGTTGCCTTAAAGTAAAAAAGCACAAATCTAACACTCGGAAATTATGCTGTGAGCTCCAGATCAGCAAAAAATCGTAAACAAAATTGTCTAGGGCCTAGGGCACAGGTACAGGGACCCTGGCCCTGGACCCTGGCCTAGGCCCTACCCTATACCTATCCCGTACTCTATCACTCACCCATTTTTCCGTTAATTACAAACATATTACCTCCTTCCGCCTCTGTGCCTCCCAATTACCGTATTCCCCAAATATCGGCAAGAAATGAGAGGTCTGACGGTCACAAAGGCGGCAGTCCTTGATCGTCGGGGCATGTATCTCGAATAGAGAGAAAACAAAAGGCACCAACCCGGCAATATCCGGTGTGCGTCCCAGCATTGAAGAAAAACCCTATCACTTCCGCGGTTTCTCGCCGCGGTGCCATTTTTAGCTCCCAGCTACAAAACAGAAAGTGAGAATTGAGCAATATCTCGCCAATTCGGCGTCCTTTCAACGATTTTTTGAGCTCAACTTTCAAACTGGAGCGCAACTTGAATGTCAAAGCCACAGGATGGAGAAGAGATCTGTATTTAGATATCGGTCGTACCTAGCAAGTACATTACTGTAAAGTAACCCAGTACAGTACAGTAACCCAGTACAGTAACCCAAGTACATAAATACGTACTATGGCCATGCGTACTATGGCAATATCCGGTGTGCGTTCCAGCATCAAAGAAAACCCCAATCACTTCCCCGGTTTCTCACCTTGGCGTCACTTTTAGCTCCCAGCTACTAATTGAGAAATAAGAATGGAGCAATATCTCGCTAATTCGGCGTCTTTTCAACGATTTTTTGAGCTCAACTTTCAAACTGGAGCGCAATTTGAATGTGGGATGTTTTTCAAAATGAATCTAGAGATTTTGATTTAAATGGAAATTGGGAATTGGTAGCTGGACGGATTTTAGGCTCGGTTTTTGGAATTTCTATTTTTTTCTTTCATAGCTAGCGATTCTGGATGGCACTACGTTGTTTACAAATTCCATTTTCGTCGATCAGTGCATTAGACACTGGTCGATTAAAATATTCAGGGCACACATTAATTATCACAGCTTTACCCAGCTCAGCTCCGGTACTCCGTTTCGTTTTCTAGGTCCCGCAAATAGCGTAAATATCTAAACTGATATCCAGATTGGCCAAGGGATCTCAAAGATTTCGAAATTTTCACGAAATCCCGGAGATAACGCGACGATCAATATCGACCACAACCAAATGCAAATATTTGCCTTCTTGAGCATTCCTTGGCTACCGTCGGCCAGTGTGCAGTCCAGGATTGATCATAGAAAAGTTGAAATCCCTCAAAAAGTCATAGTTGGCCAGATTTCTTCTTGATCTCTCTCTGAAAGCAGGACTACTCATTTTTCTCTAAATTTAGCTGATGTCTTTCGAAATCCAATCATTAAACAACTAATCCTGGATGTCATTTGAGTGATTGGCTGGGAAATAATCCCAAAAAATAGCATTTCCAACTAATGACTCTTACGGGTCACCTTTCCAACACGATTGCTCAAGAATCGTTGCCCGATTAGCAATGTAAATGATCCGGTGGCCTTTCCTGGAAGTCACAACAGATAATGAGCCGGGTTTTCTTGGGGAAATATCATTTTCGTGGAAAGGGGGTTCAGGGGTGACTCACCTGTCCCCCACCCCCACCCTAACAGCCCTAGAATCCATTAGGCACTTTGTTTTTTTCGCCTTTTCGTCTCTCCTGGAAGGCACTAGCCCCTTTCTTGACCTTCCTGATGTCGAGAAATGGTATCTTAAAAAAAGCAAATCTTGATATTTGAATTTGAAAATATCTGAATATGGATTTTGGTTTTTTAAGTTTTTAAAAAAATCCGGAAGTGCGGAAGATGGGATTTCCGGCTAAGATTAAAAGATTAGCTTGCCCGAGCGTCTGAGGATCTTAGATTTATCCCTGTGGATCTTTTGAGATTTATGATATCATAGATTCTGGACCCTAGACCAGATGGGATATCCAAAAACCCGTTTTTCCAAATTTCATCTAATCAACAGCACTTTCAGCTACAGTGACATCCAGGATCGGCCACACGATAGCCGAAATCTCAAAAACCTAAACCAATCCGCCTAAATCGACCCAGTCCTGTATTTGAATCGGCGAAAAGGACAGCTGTTTGGTTTTTGAGTGTTTTAAAAACTTCGCACAGCCACTAGCTACAGTGACATCCAGGATTGGCCACACGATACACGAAATCTTAAATAGTTCAATAGATTTGCATATATTGAGCCAGTCCTGTGCCTGAAGCGGCGTTTTTGGAGTTTTTGGTGTTTTTAAAAATTTTAAAAATTTGATTTAATCAATAGCTACAGTGACATCCAGGATTAGTTGTACGGTAGCTAAAATCCTAAAAAGTTAAACTAAATTTGCCTAAATCGACCCAGTCCTGTACTTGAAACGGCGTTTTTGGAGTGTTTTTAAAAATTTTCGAAATTTGCTATATTCAATAGCTACAGTGACATCCAGGATCGGCCATACGATAGCCGAAATTCTAATAAGTTAAACTAAATTTGTCTAAATCGACCCAGTCCTCTACTTGAAACGGTAGAAACGGCCTTTTCAGTTTTTTCAGACATTTCCCCGATTACGGTACTTTGCCCAAGGAAAGAAATTGCTTTGAAAAGCTTTTTTTCCATTTTCGGCTCTCACCGCCCCTCTTTTCATTTCTTTTCCTCTAAAACCGGCACACCGGGAGAATTGGGGGAGCGCTATTGTTCGAGTTTTCTTTTTCTTTGTCGATTCAACAATAATGGATTGAACAATGGATTTAGAGTTAGATTTAGCTTTAGATTTAGCTAGATTTAGCTAGATTTAGATTTAGCTTTGGCTTTAGGCTTAGGCTTAGGCTTTAGCTTTGGCTTTGGCTTCAGCTTCAGCGTCAGCTTTAGCTTTGGCTTCAGCTTTAACTTCAGCTTTAACTTCAGCTTTAGATTTAGAAGTAAATCAAATTTAAAATTAAATTAAAATTCATGCCAAAAGGAGCTAAAATTAATGCCAAAAAGCAAAAAAAAGCAAAATTTTGCTTTGACCCTTTTAATCGAAAATTTTCTCAGCCCATCCATGCTCCCTAATAGCTCAGTGGCTAGTGCTTTGTTCTATCAAGCTAGGGATGCTGGTTCGATTCCGGCAGTGGTCAAATCAGTTTTTTTTTATCTTTTTCTATTCAAAAAGATCAAAGAGCCAAAAATGAGTGAGTTGCCTTGTTCGAGAGTCACTTAAGTGCTTCGAGAGTCCTGAGGGAATCAAAAAGACAATAGGAAGGTGAAGAAATGTGAAAACAAAAGAGAAATGCCAAAATTTAGACGCTTTGGCCAAAAATGCACTCGATGTGCCCGATTTTGCACAAAAAACGAAATGGTGATGCGAGCGAGGTGAAGAGATTTGATTTGACTGAAATGAAGATCGATTTCCATTTCAGACACCTCCTCTTCCATGCCGATTGCTTTTGTTGTGCGAGTTGTGAGCGACGGCTTTGCACTGGTGATCAGTACACGGTAAAGTCATCTAAATCTTCCTAGAAGCCTAGCCTGCCTTCCAGATTAGAGAATAGAGTCTAAATGCGAAATTCTAGGTCCGAACCGATGGGGTCTTCTGTGCGCCCGAATGCCAGGTGCCCTCGTTGACTCCTTTGGGTGAGTGCTTGGCTATTGCTTACTAGATGTGTTATATGACATCCAGAACCGCTGAAAATCGATCTAGCAAGGGGCTGGGGTCGCTGGATCGCAGGGAATGCTTGAGATCTTGATTGTACCTAAGTGCCTGAATAAAATCTGGGATTTAGCTGTATCTGTGATACTAGATCACTTGCGTGACATCCAGAAATGCTGAAAATTTACAGATTTTTATTGCTAGTTATCTATTATCCATTGCAGGCGTCCAGCTACCGAACTCTCTGCCGACTTCGCTCGTCTCCCTCCCCACAAACAACAACAATACGCCGGCGCCGTTGCATGAGAATCGAGTGCGTTTGTTTCACAGGATGCCATCCAGAATCGCTAGCTATGAAAGCAAAATAGAAAATAGAAATTCTTAAAATCGGACTTAAAATCCGTCCAGCTACCAATTCCCAATTTTCATTTAAATTAAAATCTCTAGATTCATTTTTAAAAACATTCCACATTTAAGTTGCGCTCCAGTTTGCAAGTTGAGCTAAAAACATTTTTGAAAAGACGCCGAATTAGCGAGATATTGCTCCATTCTCATTTCTCAATTAGTAGCTGGGAGCTAAAAGTGACACCAAGGCGAGAAACCGGGGAAGTGATTGGGGTTTTCTTTGATGCTGGAACGCACACCGGATATTGCCATAGTACGCATGGCCATAGTACGTATTTATGTACTTGGGTTACTGTACTGTACTGGGTCAACTTTACAGTAATGTACTTGCTAGGTACGAACGATATCTAATTACAGATCTCTTCTCCATCCTGTGGCTTTGACGAGGACTCGTGGGAGACGTCAACGCTCGCGTCGGGCGATGGCGGCAATACAACTTCTCCACCGTTATCATTGAGGTACAAAATGAAGCTTCTGAAAAAAATTTTTCATTTTAGATCCCCAAAATCCGATGAAGGCAGCACACATATCAGCTCAGGAAAGAAAAGCAAAAAGGATAAACAGGTTAAAAGAGTTTTTAAAACGCCTAGAGATCGATCTGATAAAAGAAATCGTCTGAAACCTGTCTGGAACCTGTCTGGAACCTGTCTGGAACCTGTCCTCCTTTATAACTTTTTTTTGAGTAGACAGATTTTAATGGAATTTTGCATTTCTCTTAGTTGGATATCATGCAAAAATTTGAATTGATTAGAAATTCGAAAATCGATTTTTGAGACTTGTGCAGTACTGAAATACTGAAATACTGAAATATCGAAATTTGCATAAATTGAAATCTAACGCTGCCAAGTTCTGACCTGCGTCCCAGATTGGATAGATAATCGATAAAAATCAAAGTTGTCTTGGAAATAATTTCAATTTCAAGACCAACTCAAAAATGACTATACCGGGATTTGAAATTTGCATCAATTGGAAACTCTAATCCTACCAAGTTCTGACCTGCGTTCCAGATTAGATAGATATTCGATAGAAATCAAAGTTGTCTTGGGAATAGTTTGGATTTCAAGACCAACTCGAAAATGACTCAAAACCAACTCTTTCTTTCAATGTTTCAAGGCTTTCCAATTTTCCGCGGCTTTCCAATGTTCAATGAGTTTTTCCAGACGACTCGTGTCCGTACAGTGCTCAATGAGGCACAGTTGGGGATTCTGAAGAAATGCTACGCAATGAACGCCCGACCAGACGCTTTGTTGAAGGTTTGTTGATGAGCTAGAGCTAGACTGGCTAGAAGACTGGCTAGAGCTAGACTGGCTAGAAGACTGGCTAGAGCTAGACTGGCTAGAAGACTGGCTAGAGCTAGACTGGCTAGAAGACCGGCTAGAACCAGAACTGGCTTTTGATCTTTTCTCTTTGATTCTTCGGCTTAGGCAGATCTGTTCCTCTTGCAAATAGATCTATTGCTAGCTCTAGTCGATTTTTCTTTCTAGAACAATTTTCCTAGAGTTTTCAGGAACAGCTGGTCGAGTTGACAGGGCTGAATGCACGCGTGATTCGAGTTTGGTTCCAAAACAAGCGCTGCAAGGACAAGAAACGCCAAATTCAACTCCGAGACATGCAAGTGAACGCAGAAAAGGTAGCCTAAAGATTCTAAAGGCCCTAAGGATCCTAAAGGTCCTAAAGATTCAAAATCCTAATTCCAAAGGCCCTAAAGGTCCTAACGACTCAAAGGTTGACCTTTTGAACCTCGGGAAAACAGCGGATAATCTGTCGATGAGCAAATAAACCCCACGGTGTCCATTACGCACATTTGATATCTTTTTCAGAGTCTTTTAAGCTTTAAGAGATTAGGATCATGCATCCTGGAGCTCACAGGACCGTTACATAAGACCCTGGGGTTACATAAGACCCTGGACCCTTAAGACTCTAAGGAGTCGACCCTGGGTCGACTTGGTCTTACATAAGAGACCCTGGGGACCCTAGAACCCTTCTTAGATCAGACTACAGTACATCCTGGACCTCACAGGGCCCTTAGGTAACGACCCTTAGGTAATAAGACCCTGGGGACCTAAGGGACCTAGGGGACCCAAAGGACCTGGGGACCTAAAGGACCCTGGGGACTCACAGGACCCTGAACCAAGCCTGAACCTAGCCTGAACCTAGCCTGAGCCTAAGCCTAAGCCTAAGCCTAAGCCAAGGCCAAAGGACCATTACCCTGGCCCCTGGAGTCTTCCAATCGACTCCCAAGCCAAACCAGGCTTCAGCTTAACCATAGCCTGTTAAAACCGGCTCTAGATCAAATCCTGGAAGTCACAGCACCCATCGACATTTTTTTTTAAAGCTTTAAGCTAATTTTAAGGGAATCCAGTCGAAAACCGGGTCCAGCCTTTTCCCTGTCCATAGCCTTAGCCTAACCCGCTAAAACTGTCACTAAACGAAATGCTGGATGTCACAGCACCCAAAAACAAGTACCAGCTTCAAGTACTCTCAATTTTCTGGTTGCTTGATGAGTACTTGCAGAAATCCAGCTCTTAAGTGTCCAAAAGAGTGTGGGTCTTAAGTGTGGACACATGCAGAGACCATATTTCCCTGGGATATTCTTTCTTTTTGTTTCTTTTGATAGATTGGGTTGACCTAGAAGTGGAGGAGTGTTCTGCCAGCTGACACCCTTCCCTGCTGAGGGGGCTACTGGTTCTATGAGGTCAAACTCTAAGGGATTGACTAGAAAAACTCCTGTGTGCTCCAGATAGCTTAAATCTCTCTTTAAAAGACTCAAATCCCTTAGTCTTCCATCCTAAACAGTGTGCCAGAGGGGATGCGTTTGCATTAAATCACCAAGTACGCTTTTTAGCCAAACTGAATAGCTCAGAGTTTCTTGTGACTTCCAGATAGCCTAAATCTTTCTTTAAAAGAGGGATTTGTTTACGTGAAACCCTTAAAATTACCTTGGTACAGCTTTGATAGTTTTATTAGGGAATGGCTGGTGGTTGGAGGGGATAATGCGTGTACTAATAGTCGAGCTGGAACTCACACCAGGTTTTAAGATGGTTAGATCTAGTGTACGTCCTATTATGGCAGTACCGCATTTGTAGAATACCGTATCCTCAACCGGATATTGTATACAGTAGTAGAAAGACTACAGTACTCCTGACAAACGTCTTCCTGGAAGGCACACTACGTTTTAAGGCAAAGATTCGATCATCAAATTAGATTCTTCCAGGGTGGGGGGTAGGGCGCCACCTCCTTTCGGGGATAATTCGGGGTTTCTCTGTCCATCCACTCCGCCATCCCATTTCCCTAATGGGATCTCATCCCTTTCCTCCTCGGCCTCAAAAACAACACCATTATTCCAAATGGGGGTCACAAATTAGCGCATATTATTTGATGGCCTTGTTCTTTGTCGGCTACCGCACTACAAAAAATTTGATGCTAGAAAAAGGGCTCTTACAGTTGATTTAATCAACTCAAAACATAGTGTGACTTCCAGAAAGCAGCTTGGTCTAAGCACTGTACCATTCTCACTACCGGGATACAGTACCCGGCCAGGGTACGGTACCGTACTACTTCCGGTACTAAAAGTGCTCTTGCAGCTGATCTAACCAACTCAAAACATAGTGTGACTTCCAGGAGGCGGCCCTATCCGGTATTCGGCTGCATGGCGTCGGCCCACTCATCGCCGTCTCTCCATCATCTCATCTATCCGATCTCACTCTCCCACCACCACTCGACATCCATCATTTCGCTCAATGGCCACAAGAACATCAACAACAACAACCATTCCATCAGCCACATCATTTGGTGAGACATAAAGAGATACGGTATTATAGTTACAGTAACCCAGCTACAGTAATCCGGCTACAGTAACCCGGCTGGTAAAAAAACATAGAACAGGCCCTGAAAAACGGCTAAATACCTACTGTGCGCTCCAGAATACAGTTTCTTGAACTTAAATTAGGCTACTACAGTAGTCCTGGTACAGTAATCCTTGGCTACAGTAATCTACCGTAACCTCGAATGTACAATATAGTAGAACAGGCTCTGGAAAACGGCTAAATAGCTAGTGTGCGCTCCAGAATGGTGTTTCTTTCAATCATACAGTCGTCTAGCCACCGTAATCCCATACAAATGCCTATTAGAAAGATTCGTTACAGTATCTCTTCTAAAAGAGACTTTACGCAAAAGTTACCGTAGCCAAAACTTTCCCAATCAATCAAAACATTGACTTTTCCCCTAAAGAAGGGTCAAAATGAACGAGGAAATGACAGATTTACAGCCAATGACCGTAAAATTCTCTCAAATAACAGGTGTCACCAAAAAAATCGTTGTTTTCTTGAAATCTAAGACAATTTCTTCGATAATTGACCGTTTTCGGAGGCACTTTGCAGAAATTGAGAGCTTTCTGATCGAAAGATGACACTTCGGACAGCTGCATAAACATCCTCGAGGTGTTGAGCCCATTATACAGGTGTCAAAGTGATCGGAGTGCTTTTAGGGGAAGAAAAGCAATTCAGGGTCCCCTGTGCGCTCCAGATAGCATAAATATCTCTTTAAAGTACTTGAATCCTTAGCCTTTCATTGTAAACAGTGTGCCAGAAGGGATGCGTTTGCATCAAATCACCAAGTGCGTTTTTTAGCCAAACTGAATAGCTCAGAGTTCCTTGTGACTTCCAGGTAGCCTAAATATTTCTTTAAAATACTTGAATCCTTAGCCCTCCATCTTAAACAGTGTGCCAGAAGGGATGCGTTTGCATCAAATCACCAAGTACGCTTTTTAGCCAAGCTGAAAAGCTCAGAGTTCCTTGTGACTTCCAGATAGCCTAAATATTTCTTTAAAGTACTTGAATCCTTAGCCCTCCAACCTTAAACAGTGTGCTAGAAGGGATGCGTTTACATCAAATCTCAAAATGGACTCTTTAGCCAAACTGAATAGCTCAGAGTTCCTTGTGACTTCCAGATCCCCCAAAAAGATCCAGACCTCCAGATCTCCCTTCAAAACAACCCCAACTTTCAGGCGCCTTTCTCAGAAGATCATCAAATCGGCGTGCCGATCGGACTCCCACCACCAGGGTTCGTCTCACCGCTGCAATTCCCGCAATTCTCTTCCCCATCCCATCATTCTCACATGCATCCCAGTGATTTAGCGTCTCCATCGTGCAGTGAATGATTTTCGTTTTAGAGCAATTTTTTATATGCAAATTTTTAATTAAAATTTTTTATGTAAATTTTTAATCAAAATTTTTTATGTAAATTTTTTTCAAATCTCATTTTTCCTCAAAAAAAAAAATCCAATTTCGCACATCGCAAGCTTGCCAATTTGTCAGAATTTTTTCTTTATTTCTATTTTTTTCTTTTCCTTCCCTTCATCGGCCATATCCCCGTGTTTGTCTGTAAAAAGGTTTTCGTCAAAAAAAAATTTTTTTGATTTCGATTTCTGAATCAAATAAATATCGGGAACTCTCGTGTGCATTCCAGATCCAAAAAAAACACCTTTCATTTAGCCTAAATTCCCATTCTTACATCGAAAAAGCTCGAGCGCTTGTGCTCCATCGTGAACAAAATGCAAATATTGCCAATGAACAATGCCAGAGTGAACGCGAATCCCCTGTGCGCTCCAGATGACACTAATCTTATTTTAACTTCCCCAAATCTCCTAGCTACGCCTCTAAAGTGGTGAGCCAGAAGAAATGCGTTTGCGGAAAAGAAGAAATCTCAAAAAAAAAGCCTCTTTTACCTCAACTAAATCTCTGAAAGTCACCCGTGACTTCCAGATCTCCCAAAAATCTTTCTAAATCTTAGAATCTATTGTTCCATCGTTTACAATCACTCCCAAATTGTGATCGATTGTCGGCGGGGGTGTTCAAAGGGGTTGAAAAGGTCTCTTTCCGCTCATTTCCACACTCTGTCACCTCACAAATCCGTCAAATTGATCGATCAGCTGACTTTTAACGGCAAAAAAAAAGCGCTAAAATCTTCTAAACTTTTGCCTACAGCAATGAAATTCTTAAAGAAAACTTTGAAAAGTCAAAAAAAAAATTGCAAAAAACGGCAAAAAAATAGGAAAATTGGGAAAAATCGTCGAAAAAAACATCGACAACTGACTCAATTTTCAAGTCAATTTTATTTGCTTTTAGAGGAATTTTGAGAGGAAATTTACGATCACTCGTTTAACCCGAAGAAAATCGAAAGTATTCTTTGCAATTTTGAGCCTTCAAAAATTGAGGATTTTTGGGAAAATTGAGGAAAAATTCCCGAAAAATGGGTTGATTTAAAAGAAAATTTCAAAGCAGAGCACGAAAAATCGTTGATTTTTTTGTGGTGATTCTCAGCTGAACGCGGCTTCGCAAAAGCTTCGAAAATCGGCACAGCCGAACCACTCCGATCAGGGCTCGTTCTGTCTAGGTCCTTCACGAAAAACCTCTTCCAATGCACGATCTTCCTTCCTAGCGAGTGATAGAGGACATTGTTAGCACTTCCAGCACTTGGAAAATGTAATTCGGACCGTTTATAACTGCAAAAGGGAGCGCTTAGTTTTGGAGAATGTTTTTGTAAAGATGACGATCCATTATATGCTTTATGTGGTACAGAGGTGCCATTCTTTCAGCTGATAGACATCCCCATACAAGACGAGAGCCGCCACCATGACAGTAGGCAATTGATATTGGGGATCGATTCGTTTGCCGATCGGCATGCTTCTTTTAAAACCAAATCACAAGTCAATCCAATGTCTGTACCTCGAGATTGGAGATCACCGAAAAATACTCTTTTTTTGGATGTGAGTCCTATTCAAATTGCACAGCAAATCCCCCATTTCAGAAAAGTACTAATGCTTGCTGGTTGCTGGGAAAGTAATCCCGTTGATCAACCCGATTTTTCACATTTTCGTCGCCGTTTCTATCGAGAAATGGAGGAAGATTCGGGCAGATATGAATATCTGCAATTCGGGTTGATCAATCGAATCAATCAATCGAATCAATCAATCGATAAATAGATCAATCGAATTCGAGTATTATTTCAGTCAAAACTACGATTCAATTGTGGCAACGAAATGCGTGAAATGATTGACGCAAAGCAATGAAAATAAATCAAAATTGTACATTCGATTTCAATTTCTACCAATCCTATCGAGCGACCAAGGCTTTCAAATGCAGTAGTCAATTACACGGTGATCTTTGGAACCAATCCTAGGGAAGGGAAGACTTGAGAAGCTTGGCATCGTGGTAGAAATCCTTCGAAGGTATTACTCGGTGCATTGTGTAAAGCAAAAGAAAAAAAAATCGCGCAAAAACCCGTATTTATTTGGGGGGGGGGGGAGGAATTCATCAACTTTGGCCTACCGGCCTACCAACTTTGGCTATGAAATGTTCAAGGAAAACTCAAAAAAAAAAAGGCCAAAAAAATGAGAAATTGGGTAAAACGGGAAAATTTGAAACGTTTAAACGACAAAGGGTTTGATTTTTAAGAAAATAAACAGCAGAGCACAAAAAAGAAATGACTAATTCTTGGGGATTCTCAGCTGCACGCGTCCCCGTTGCAGATCAACGCCGGAAATGGTGACACGGAGCATTGAACCGATCTGAAAAATCGGAAAATTCGCCTCTTAAATGCATTAAATGCATTAAATGCATTAAATGCATTTATCCTTTGAATCTATTCGATTTGCAGATAATAAATAATCGCCAAAATTATAGCAATTATAAAATTTTAAAGTTAAATATGGCAATTTCCTCGAAATTTAGTCCGAAAATCCCTTGGGAAATCATTTCGATCATCATTTAAATGCATTTAGGTGTTAAAAATAGCGAATTTTTGAGCAAAATCACTGAATTTCTGAATAACGCATTTTCTTCGATAATCTTGCATCACAATTTTTGCCAAAAATCAGCTTTTCGGCAAAAAGTTGCTCAAGAAAATCGATGAAAAGTGAAAAAAAAAGCGAAAAATTCGTGATCCAATTGGCATAATATTGGCAAATATTGGCAAATATTGGCAAATATTAGCAAATATAATAGTTTTTGCTCAATTTTTTCAATAATCTATTCGAATTTCGAATATTCTAAGATTTAAATGTTAAATATCAGATATTTATCTTCATATTTCCATATGATATATACCCCAAAGATGACCAAAGATGACTCACCGGTGGCGGCGAGTCTTTTGTCCCAAAAATGAGCCCATCTCGCTCGGCGCCCACGTCAACAAACGTACCAAAATCGGTCTAAAATCGAAGGGAATTGGATAAAATAAAGGAAAATTTGAGTTTTCTGGATAAATCTAGACAATTCTAGCTCAAATTCACATAAAAAAAAAAAAATTGACTCACGTTGTTCTGCACTCGTCCCCAAAACGTTTCCCCCACTTGCAACGAGCCGATACTGCGAATTTCTTTCTGAAAATAGCAAATTAGAGCTAAAGCTGCTAGTAAACTTTCAAAACTCTAACTTTTTAAAAATTTTCTTCGGAAAAGTAGCTCTTTTCTGTGAAATTCTAATATTTAATGTTTTGATTTTGAATATCTCTGATTCTCCTGTCCTTCCCCTAAAGATCGTCTTGTGTGATAAAAGGGACGGAGGCCGCTTTGTATTGCCTTTTCTTTGACTTTGGAACTATTTAGTTTCTGAAAAATGCGCTAAAGTTTCGGTGGCCAAGTGGTAAAGCGTTTTTGGCCGGCAATCCAATTCGTTTGCCCGGAAAGGTCGTTGGTTCGACTCGGCGAGGCGACAAAAGTTTTTGCTTTTTATTGGCTTTTTATTGAAAACTCAATCTTTAGCCTTTTTCGGCAAATGGCCGACCTGTAATGGGGGTGGTGGGGTCAATTCCTGTTCGGCAAGCATCAAATCTCGGACCACTTGCTCGTCTTCGCTCAGATTCGTCAACTAAAATCACAAAATTCGTCGATTTCATCAAAATCTAAAGGTGAATTTTGCCGAAAATCACCCTTTTCAGTGTATCCTTTGCGTCTTTCATCAAAATCTCGCTCGCTTCAACGTTGGCCAAGTTGAGGAGTCTAAAAAAAGGGAAAATTGGAAATTTTTTGGATAAATTTTCTTAAAAGCTAAGATTTTTCGCATCCAAATCTCGGTGATATTCGTAAAAATTTGATTTTCTCAAAAAATCCAACCTTTTTGCCATCTCGTATTGACTTGGATGCACCATTGTGGCGTCAAGTGGATCCGTTTCTCCACTTTTCATCGATTTCTCGATTTTCTTTCGCTTTTTCACCGGTTCTTCTCCATTTCCTTCGTCTTCTCCACGATTTCCATCAGACAAATCTTTTTGATCGATTATCAAGAAGCCAGCGCACTAAAGAAACAAAATTTGAGCTGAATCGTTTAATCTTAACTTTGACCTAGGACAGAATTGGCTTCATAGTATTGGCCAGAATTAGCCTAGCTTTTCCTGCTGCTTCTATTTGGCTTAGAATGGCTGAAGGTTGCCACCGCACCTGTTCAAAAGCTTTCTCTCCCAATCCTTTCACTTTTCGAAGCGCTTCCCGGCTGCCGATCGGCTCCTTTTTGCGAAGGCTCACAATGCCAGCAGCTGTCGTCTTGTTCAAGCCACAAACTTGTCTAAAACTGTGCGATAACTCTGGGGAAATCGTTTCTGCACTTACTGTAGCAATTGCACTGACGCTTTATTCACATTAACACCCCGTAAAGAGACGGCTTCACGCACCGATTCGCGTAACGCCTCAGCTAAACGCTTCTCGGAGACAGAGTGCTGAAAGATTTGCATTAAATTCATATACAAATTGAACTTAAAAGCATGAAATCCAATTTTAAACCCAATAAAAGCTTAGAGAAACCAATTCCATACTTGATACATGCCCAATCCCAAGTGTTGCGGCTCGATTTTCACATATTCCCCCATTGGATCGAGTAGGCGGCGGCCAATCGATACTGAAAAAGGTATTTGATCGATTTCGGTAACAGATAAAGTTTAATGCTTTAAAGCTTTAAGGTCTCCTTATCAATATGTACTTTGATCGATCTCAACAGCTCACCCACCGGCACTTCGAAGAGTTGGCGGCAGTTTTGGTAGCTCCTCTTCAGCCAGAGGAGTCACACTATACTTTGAGGCACCATTCTCGGGAACGACACTGAAATTAATAAAGAATCATTTAAATCAGACCATAGTACGGTTCTAATTACAGCCTAAGCAAGC